AGGAGGGTATTGAAAGCTCTAGTTTGGTTTTGGTGAATTGATGAAACCCTAAGTGCTAACCTTTGTTCTAAGTGATCATGAGACATGTTATTTCTATTCCAAGTGGTGGAGCAAGTGAAGGATGGTCATGATGATGGGGGAGGCCATGGAGATGATCAAGTGCTCAAAGCTTGGAAAAGAAGAAAGAGAAAAATAAAAAGGGCTCAAGGCAAAGGTTATATCCATAGGGCCATTTTGTTTTGGTGATTAAGATACTTAGGGAGTGTGATCACATTTAGGATAGATAGTCGTACTATTAAGAGGGGTGAAACTTATCGTAAAATGTGGTTATCAAAGTGCCACTAGATGTTCTAATTTATTGCATATGCATTTAGATTCTAGTGAGTGCTAACACCCTTGGGAATTGGCTTAGAATGTTGCTAACTCATGTACACAAGTGTTGGAATACTTGGAGCTGGAACACATGCATAAGGGTGAAGTGATCGTGCTTGTCTCGAGTGAAAATAGGGCATCAGACCCTGGTTTTTTAGGGCATCGGACCAGGCTCTCCCTAGGTCCGATGGTCCACCTACGCGCGCTATAGAGACCAAGAGCGAGGGTTCAGCGTCGGACCGAGCTTTTTAGTGGCGTTAGGCTAACTGAGTGCACTATTCATCACGCAGGAGAGAGCGAGGCGGGAACTGGCATGACGCGTGGTGGCAATGGTTTCAACCGTCTCTAGACCTTACTGGACCACATCGGACTCACCCTATAGAGGGTCCAATGGTGGGTCCGATGGCCGGGTCCAATGGCGGCGTTCTCTATGCCACGCCATCCCTATGCCACGCCACAGACAAGACAGGACCACCGGACGGTGACCTATCGTCCGAATATGGCCCGATGGGACAGGCGTACAGCCTTCTCCCACTATGGGATGGGGCTCATGACTATGCCCTTGACTTTTAAGGCCGACCAAGCCAACAAAGACCATGACCCCAAAGCTCGGGATCGTGGTCATTAGCCCAACGACCCAAGAGCAGCCACCTACTCCCGGACGGACACCTCTAGAAGCACAAAGACGATAACGAAGGCCACGGCAAGCCCACACCGCATAGGACAGCTGGCAAACCAACCCCGTTTCAATCGTGCCATCACAACTGGCACTGTAGCATCAAGCCGCACCATGCTGCGACATGGGCATGACCATGACCATGACGACAGCCATGCCAAGACATGCATGTTGGGCCCCTACTTTAGGGTTCATTATGCATCATTTATCAGTCCCTGAATCAGTAGCTGATACTCACAATTGAAACAAGATTGATATCAAAAACCATACTTTTATTGCTAATGGGGAAACACATCACATAGTTCAAGTTTACATAGCTTGGGCCATTGGCCTTATATCGTATATCAGAGTTCTAAGACAACGGTCCTATGACGACGTGGCTCCATTTCTATAGGCAACTTGGAGTGCGGACGTAACCCTAGATTTATTCCTTAAGCGTACTCCTACAACCCAACGTCGTAGTCCTAGCGTAGCTCCTTCGCATAGTCATACAGTTCTGTCTTCGAGTGTACTCTAGGTGTCCTTCCCTTGCGTAGTTCTTGATAGCTCCATACTCGTACGTTCTCCTATTGTCCTATTCTCGCGTAGCTTCAATAGTTCCATCCTGGTATGCCCTCTTGCAGCTTAACTCCTAAAAACATAGAATGGAGGGGGTTGAGTACATAGAGTACTCAGCAAGCCCTAAACTTTGGGTGGAGGAAGGTGGAAAGGGGAAGGCTATTTGGTGGAGGTGGGTTATGGTGGTGGAAGTGGTTGAGGTAAAAGTGGTAGGGTAAAGTAGCTATAATTATAGATTGGACCCTAGCAGAGCATTACTATTCTCACTAGTTTTTGGGGTTAATTATAGTTTACCCAATTAGTGAAACATATCTTACCAAATTATCACAGTTGTAGAAGTCTAATCATAGTATTCCATCCTAGCATCTGCCCATTCCAAGGATGTAGCTATTCGAATAGATTTGAGAAACTCTGCAGAGGTGTACAAATTTTCCCACATGATAGACATAGTCCGACACTATCGTCATGGCTTAGACAGGTCTAACGAGGCCTCGTATCCGAAGGAATGCATCCTCATATTTTCATATAACTCTACCACGACGTCTCAGGGGTTGGAAAAACACACTAATTCCCGAGAGGATACCAAATCGTCCTATCTCATAATCCTAGATGACACCACATTATCCCATCATATAATCTCGAACGATACAACATCATCCCAACATAATAGTGTTGATAATACCAAATCATGAAAATAAATAATAACATGGCTCAAACACGGCCAAAACAAAAATCATGGGCTCGAACGCGGCTAAAAACTCAAGGGCTTAACATGGAAGATCACATAGCAACCCCGCCAACCGAACCATGGAAGATCACATAGCATCCATGTCTGCTCCTGATATTATGCTGCCAACACCAGCCTTCTAGTAGAAATTATACTCCAATCTAACGGGGTGTGAGATCAAGTCTGCCCATATCAGATATGTGGCTGTACGAAATATCTCACTTGGTGAGAGGGACTACGAATCGGTCCTTATGTGACCGAGGCGAGTATCTCCCACAGGAACCCTCACCAGGCGTTTCTGCCAAGGTAATCTATCCCCACATAAATTCCCCCCTCGCCCCCTGTCAGGGTTTAGTCCAGTTTTACCAGTTTAAGTTCCATAATTATTATCATTAGATTCATAGAGCTCATCTCATATCAAGGTAACCATTACCTTATTATCATTAATCATATTAACATAGTCAAACCGAGCTCATAATTCATTATAGTTCCATTAATTCGCAAATAAGAGTTTAAGTAATATATATTGTGTTTATTAATTAATGAAGATGGAGTATGGAGGGTTTATGGCGGAGGTTAGCAAAATGTGGTGGTAGAAGGGGAGGTGGTTAAGGGATGGTAGTTAAAGTGGAGGAAAGGGATAGGCGGGTGTTAGGACTTGCCTTTATTCGCTGACGATTATATCCTTCTCCGATTCCTGTGTCTCCTGTTCCTGTCTTCTATCCTACGCGGTCTAGCGTCGACAAGTAAGAAAACCCAAACAAGAAAAATAGCAAGTAAGGCATGTAAAACAAGCATAGACAACTAAAGTGAAGGAAACGATTCTAGATGGGTTGGTCCTATTAGGTGATGGGTTGTTATCTAGATTATCATTATTATGTCAATTTAAAGTAAGGTTTGGATAGAGGTATTCCATCCAACAAGTTGGCTCCTACGGGTTAGGTTAAGGTGGGTGGTTGGTCTGATAAAAAACCAGACCACATTATTATTATGGTTCACTATTATGTGAATCTGAAGAGTGAAAGCCTGACCAAGTCATCATAAATGACCAGGCCAACTTCTGCATGTCCACATGGTTAGTGACACATACGCATATATATATATATATATATATATATATATATGCCTGGAGTTAGCCACGTCGAAAGGGTGGAATATAAAGCTAGCCATACATAGGCGTATACCCGGGTATCAAGCATATCCTTGTATGTATAGGTATCCTATTATTCTATGTGATTGGGTGCGAATATATTCGTGTATGTGTCGTGGTGCATACATATACGCGAATATATAGGGCTAACTACTACTACGACGGAGGGTATTATATTATCTACGTGGGAGAGTGCAGGTGTAACTATCGGCGCGTACATTACTTATCTATGCGGGTTTATATATATTCCTATCGCGTATATATTTGTATGGGTGCAAACATATTACTACTTTACATGTTATATTTATCCATATATTTATATACGGAGTATAGCGTATATTTGTACATGGACATATGTGGCTACGGGGTGCTAATAAATAGATGCGTCTACAATTTAATACTTAAATAAGGGAATGAAAAGCAATCATATCTAGAATTTAAATGGGCATACAAATTTTGATAAAAGCATTTTAATATGTAGGGTTTTATTTTATAAGATTTATGGTGCAAGAATTACGAAATTCAGAATTAAAACGAGAGAGATATAAATTATCAAAGTTTACCGACTAAACGCGAATGGAATGGAACATGCAAATTATTTCTACAATTTTATCTAATGAAAAATGAGTGAAAATTATCTAGATATTATCTAGGGTGACCCTAGTTTATTTATAAATTTTCTGGAATTTTTTCTATAATTAATAGGCTTATATTTAATATCCTGTGTACATTCCCCGTGTGCACCTAGCGTGGGTCAGGCTGGTGGGCTCGTCCTGCTGCTACTGCTTTTATGCACCGATCTGTGGACTGCCTGCCTCTGTCTCTGTGGTCCATGTGAACGGAGTCTATAGAGGTGAGAGGGAAAGGCAGGCCACTGATTTGCGGGGTCCCCAGGACGAGGTGGCGTGCGGCCGTTGGCCACAACGACGTGGCCGGGCCTTGGATGCCATCGGTGTGCGTCCGCTCTGCTCGGTCAAAGGGCAAAGGGAGAGCGAGAGAAAGAGGGAGGGAAAGCAAAAGAGAAGGGAGGGAAAGCAGAGCAGGCACCGGCGTCGGTCACGGCCCCGGCGGCGGCGGCGCTCCAACCAGAAGAGAGAGAGAGTCAGCAGGGAGGGAGAGAAAGAGATAAGAGAGAGAGGAAGGGAGACAAGGGGGAAGGAGCAGGGCGACGGGAGAAGAGAGCGGAGGGAGCTCGGCCGGCGGCGGCGGTGGTGCTTGCTACGGCGGCGGCGGGCGCTCGGCAGAGGCGAGAAGGGGAGAGCAGGGGGGGCGCGGAGCGAGGAGTCGTGGGCGGTGGATGCGGCAGCGGCGCGACTGTGCAGGGCGGCAGGTGGGATGGGAAGAGGGAGCAGGGGAAGGGAAGGAGCAGAGCAAGGGCGGAGCGGGCTCGGCGCCGATGCGGGTGGACAGCGGCGGCCTCGACGCCGGTGTGCGCTGCGTGCGGCGAGGGAGCAGAGAGGGAGGGACAAGAGAAAGCAGAGGGGGAAGGGAGAGGGAGAGCAGAGCAGAGCACGGCAATGGCGGCGTCGGACTCCAGCGTTGGGCCTCGGCGTCGTGGGTCCCAGCTTCCCCCGGCAACCAACTTCGTCGTGCCCTCGAGCTCACCGGGGCCGGCTATTTATAGGCGGCGTAAGGCGGTTGGCCGGGGGAAATATCTCCGGCTGCCAGCGGATAGCCGGCGTAAGGCGGTTGGCCGGGAGAAATATCTCCGGCTGCCAGCGGTGGCGCTCGTACGGCAGCGGCGTGCGTGTCGACGGAAAATCCGGGATGGATAAGAACGACGCGGAAGACGACGGGGCTTTTTATATTTTTACCATTACAACGAATGGCACTCATCAGAATATGACTCGCTGAGGGACACTAAGAACTTTATGGACACTTATAACTTTATTGGATGATAGAAGTTTTAGTTTTAGATTTATCATATCTGTACATGTGGTATGTCATGTCAGCTTGATATGTTGTCGTCTAGTCAGCCTGAGTACGTGCATATCGTTGCTATCCTTGTCTGGCTCCTCTCCATCCTGATAGCTTTGATAGCTGGGTCCCGTGGCACCTGTCACTTTCAGGTGAGCCTCACTTGTCAGCTTCGTCTTTCAGCTCTAGCACCTGGATGGGAGATAGTCAATCGGCCAATCTATCCAGTGGCAAGGACAGAAAGATAGGGAGTCACCACCCACGAGTCAAGACAAGACTCCAGAGGTGCTCACATGTCACAAGCAGGGAGCCAAGGAGGATAGTGGTGACTGGTATCCAGCTTCGAACGGGTAGTCAACGGACGCACAGGCGCACGCCGCACCCGCACAGCGGCCAGTGCGGACGCGCCACAGAACTCAGAGCAGCACGGTGTGAGGAAGCCGAGGAGGAGGCGCGCGAGCAGCAGCTCTACCGCGGCCTAAATGACGCGGGCGCGAGCAGCTCCCCCGCGGCCTCGTCGGCGCATGTGCGAGCAGCAGCTCCGCCGCGGCCTCACGGGCACGCATGCGAGCAACTCCGCCGCGTCCTCGCGAGCGCGCGGAGAGGGAGGCCGAGGTGGTGGCTCACCCGCTGGGGAGCTCGCATGGGGAGCTGCTGCTCCGACGAACTGGGCGTGAAGGCTGTGCCGAGCCTGTGGTGCGTGCCACATCCCGACGCTGGGCGATGGAGCTCTGGCCATGGGCGATGGAGCTCCGACGAGCTGTCTCCCATCCAGGTGCTGGAGCTGGAAGACGAAGCTGATGAGTGGGGTCCACCTGGAAGTGATAGGTGCCGCGGGACCCAGCTACCGGGGATGGAGAGAGAGGGGAGCAAGGCAGGGGTAGCAACGATATTTCACGTGCTCAGGCTGACTAGGAGACAACGTGTCGAGCTGGCGTGGCATGCCACATGCGCAAATGTGGTAAATCTAAAACTAAAACTTCTCTCATCTGGTAAAGTTGTAAGTGTCATTCTAAGAGTGATATTCGGATGAGTGCCAATCTTTATAATGGTAAAAATGTAAAAGCCCCAGACGACGGCGCAGAGAGGCGGTTCGCGAGCGCACGCGGTTCACGCGGTGGCGATGTGGCACGGACGCGGGGAGAGCGCGGCGCTGCGCTTGGGCCGGGCGGCGTTGCCGTGTTAAATTTGGGCTTGTGCCCAATCGGCAGGAGGGAGGGGATATACAGTGGAGAATTTCCTTTTCTATTTTTGTAAATAATATATTTGTAATTCCAAGAAATATAACGATGTATATAAATATATGCCTATATGTATTCTAGATAGGTGATGTATTTCTAATTCCTAGATAATTAAGAATGTAATACAAATACCGATGCATTTCTAAATATTGGATACTAACTACGAAATACGTTTGCAAACTATAAATTAGTTTTATATTGCATATCTTTCAACGTAAAGAATTTAACTAAGATGTAATTTGAGAAAGGAAAATTGGAAAGGCAGATAAAGCTATAACTTATCAATGCGATGGCTATTATCATTCCTAGGGAATAAAATATTGCTTTTATCTACGATGTATTATCTACCTCTATAATTTAGAGAAAAGGTTTTAAATAATTCAAGAACGGAAAGTGGAAATTCAAGGGAAATTATTTTGGTGCCGCAAATAAATTCAAGAAAAGCAATCACACAAGCATGCAAGCAATCAAGCATTCAATCAAACAAGCATTTGATCACTCAATCATTCTAACCTAAATGCATATGGTGAATTTTGATGCAGGGTTTTTGAAAACATTTCATTTAGAAAGGGTTTTTTGGAAAATAAACTAATCAAGTTTTAATTTGATGTAAAGTTTTAAAAAGTTTAAATTTTTAGTGGTTTTTAACATGATGCAAAAACACGGGTGTTACAGTGCACCAGCGCTAGGACAAGACGGCCTTCCTTGCAGACCAAGTTTACTAGATTTCTCCCTCCCTCAGGCTCATGACCTCACTGTCGGGAGAACCTAACTCTTTGTACGTGACCTGATCCCGAACTCTATATAAGGGCAGCCAGGGCACTCTTTCAAGGGGATGGACTCTCGAGACTCCATTCGGGTAGTCCCTCTCCACTCTCCTACCTCTTTCATTCTTCTTGCATACCCCATTGTAAGAACTTCAGAGCATTCAACTGAGGAACACGCACTCGATCTTTCTCTAGAGACTTGACATAGGGCTCCGGCCAGAACCAGTATAATTCCTTGTGTCTTCGGATGCTACCATCGTCTTCCTAGAGTAGCGCGACACACGTATAAATTCACTCGTCGGGTGACAAAACACCGACAGGGCATGTTTAATTCATGCTTCACCACGCCGCACCATCTGCGATGTAGTTTGGGCACGTGTTTGCTTCGCTGGTGCAGTTGCGGCATGTCGTGGTGTCGTGGGGTTGAAACCGTGGCAAGCATGTTATTCGAGTCGGTGTTAGAATACAGGGTCTCCGATGGCTCGGGTGGACTCAGGAACATAAGAATCACGCAGAGAAGACGCAACGATTTATCCTGGTTCGGCGATGTAGGCTAGGCTCCCAAAGTAGGCCAGCCTTGAACCCTCGGCGATGGCCCTTCTGGGGAGGCCCCTAAACCGGCATACGGTGGGGTGGAACGATCTGATGAAGGATCACGAGATTGGCAAATATCTGCAAAGAAGACAAAATGGACACAAGAGAGGGGAAAGAGGACATAGCTAGTAACGCGATGGCCAAGGCCGCTCCGTTAGCGCCTTACGATCTCTCGCCTGCTCCTCCTGCTCCGTTCGCCTGTCCTTACCTTGCTCGGGGCCTTTTGCAGCAGTCCTCCTTATGAAAAGGTTAGCAAGTGGTTAGCTTGGTCGATCCTCTGGTGCGGCCAAGCCATCATTGGGATGGCTCGGGTTAAGGAAGATAGCGAATAGAGTAGACAGAGGTAAGCGAAGCAAGAGGGTCGAGAGGTCAGGACTTATCTTGGTTTTTGTTGTTGGAGGGGTAGGCCGGCGAGGGAGGTCGGCAGGCAGGCCTTGGTTCAGGAGGCGTCATTTCTGGGCGGATGGCTCGGCGATGGCCTTTCCTCATGGGGAAATGTCGGAACTCATGTTGATCGGGTTAGCCCCTTCTGGGGAGCTGAGCGCCTGGATGGAGGGGCCAACCGAGCCACCGCTACCACTAGAGGTCTTGACCGCCTTGCCGAGGCTCGGTCGATTGAGCACCGCCACCATCTTGGACGCTTCCTCTGCCGACGCCCTGCATACGTCACAGCCAGGGTCATCGGGAGCATAGGGGGTGATGAGTGCAGCCGCTTGGGTGATGCAGTCTTGCTCGTAGAAGTAGACTTGCTCGAAGCTGCCCTCGACGGTGATGACCCCCTTCGGGCTGGGCATCTTGAGCTTAAGGTAGGTGTAGTTGGGGACGGCCATGAACTTGGTAAAGCATGGTCGACCAAGGAGGGCATGGTAGACACTGAGGAAGTCAACGACCTCGAAGGTGAGCGGCTCCTTGCGGAAGTTGTTCGGCTAGCCAAAGGTGATGTTGAGCCAAATGCGCCTGAGCGGCACGGCTTCCTTCCCTGGCACAATCCCATAGAATGATGCCTTGCTGGGGTGCAGGCTGCTCTGAGAGATGCCCATCTTGTCGAGGGTGCTAGCGTATAGTATGTTGAGGCCGCTGCCCCCGTCTATCAGCACCTTGGTGAGGCGTGTGGTGCCCACGATTGGGCTTACCACGAGCGGGTAGCGCCCTAGATGGGGGACACGATCGGGATGGTCTTCTTGGTCGAAGGTGATGGCCATCTGGGACCACCAGAGCCACATCGGGGCAGTGAAGGTGTGGACGGCGTTCACCTCCTGCTCGGTGATGCGGCACTACCGGCAGGATTCATACACCTAGGAGCCCCTGAAGATCATGAGGCAATGCTCGGCCTCGGGGAACTCGTTGTCTTCCTCCTGGGTGCAATATGCTGGGTCACCTACCTTTGGGGTAGGCTTCTGGGCCTTGCCCCATTGGCCGAGGGTGCTATGGATGTAGCCCTTCATGGTAGCACAGTCCTTGAGAAGATGCTTTGCCTACCCCCCGTGGAACGGGCAGGGGGACTCGAGCGCCTTCTCAAAGTGCTCCAATCGTGTAGCACACCCACGGGGCTAAGGTCTGGCGGCGCGGTCAGCCATGATGACCATGTCCTACCCACGACGCTTCCAGTCCTTGTTCCGCCTGCCGCGGCATCGCTGGGACGAGGCGGGATCATCGGTGCCGTCACCACCACTAAGGTGGCCGGCGGCCTTGGCTTTTTTGCTGAAGTTGGTCTAGACGGCCTCCTCACCGGTGGCGTACTGGGTGACAATGTCCAGGAGCTCCCGCGTCATCCACGGGGTCTCATGGCCGAGCGCGTGGACGAGCGCCTTGCAAGTCATGCCGCAGATGAAGGCGTTGATCATGTTGGCGTTGGTGATGTTTGGGAGCTCATTGCGCTTCTTGGAGAAGCGTTGGATGTACTCCTAGAGGGTCTCGTCGGACCTCTACTTATAGTTGCGAAGATCCCAAGAGTTCCCTGGGTGGGTGTAGGTACCCTAGAAGTGGCTGATAAAGACCGCACGGAGATCGCCCTAGCAGCGGATGCTACCGAGCTTGAGTTGCTCGAGCCAAGCTCTGATCGGTCTTGATAGAAGCAGAGGAAGGTACTGGACGGTGAAGTCATCGTCTAACCCCTCGACCTTCATCGTGAGGTGATAGTCCTCAAGCCAATGGTCCGGGTTGGTCTCACCATCGTACTTGAAGATCTACGTCGATGACCGAAAGCGCCTGGGGTAGGGTGCCGCCCGGATCGCTATCCTGAACGCCAGGGGGCCGAAGTTGTAACACCCTAGGTGTTAGGCTTGTATAATTGCACTTGCATTGCATGAGCATAAGCATCAAGCATTCCTATATGAGCTTTCAGATATGAAACATGCAATTGAAACATGTGAAACATGACTTGTTATTTTATGTTTTTCCTATGTGTATGCTTATGATCATGTGTGATTGAGTGCATGTGGTTGATGTTGGTCACTAAAATATATTAGCTACACTTAGGATGCCTATTAGAACAATGTTCATGTGGATCACTTCACCTAATTAAGCTCCTAAGTGATGATATGCTTAGTTTGACCTAGGATTTACATGTGATCAATGTATGAAATGATTGTGGAACCTTATGAATGCTTCAAACATGTTTAGAATGTCACTAGGAACTACTTTGGTATTCATGACTAAAGCTAGTTTGGTCTCTAAGTCATACCTATAGTGTAAAGTACCAATTTCATGTGATATGTTTGACTATAGTTGAATTGCATTTTAGAAACTTTGCATGGATGTGTACCCTAAAACAAAGTTGTAGTACTTGAGGAGTGTAACAACATTTATTTTTGGTTCATAGGCTAGTTCAGCTCCTAACATCCTTGAATTTAGATCACAAAGGTCAATGTAGTGCTGTTTGAAAACTTGGAAATATTTCTAAGTCTTTCAACGCTTTTTCAGTTTTCGTGTAGTGTACTTTGGTGCCTCATAGTTTGAAAACCGTGGAGTTTTAGACGATGTTAACATTGGCAATGTTGGAGCTTGCCTGTAGCTCTACCACTTTGATGATTAATGGATCTCTCGCTAATTTGGGTCGGTTTGAGAGTTTGAGGGAGCCGAAAATTGAGTTTCAGCTTGTATTTTTGAGGTGGTATTTGATCAATTCATTCAGTTTGGAAATTTTGAACGTGGCGGACCTATTCAGAAGCTTGCTGCCGCGTGGCCTTGCGCGCTCCCGCTGTCCATTCGCCACCTCGTCGTCGCGTGTCGCTTTAGTGAAGCCGAGCCAGAGCCCTGTCCCCCTGCCCTCTCCATTCCCACTCCCTCACTCGCCTTCTGGAGCCTGCTCGCGCTGAGCACGGCCGTGCTTGCCATGGCCGCCATGGCCGGGCAGAGCTCCTTGCCGCCGCTGCCGTTCCCTGCCCCTGTGCTCCCCGCTCCTAGCCAGCACCACCACCACCTCCTCGTGTTTTCCCCGAACCCGTACCACCCATCCCCGGCCTTGCCACCGCCGTGCAGCCGCCCGCTGCGACCACCGTGCACGTGGCTGGGCTGCCTTGGACCATATCCGGCCAGGATGAGCAGCTCGGTGGGTGCGCAAGACTCCCATGGTCCTTCCTCGCCACTCAATCGCCGCCGATGTAACTCCTCCGGCCGGCCACAGCAAGCCCCGGCGTGCTCCTCTGTTTTGACCGCGTGAAGGGCTTCGCGCAGAAATTCGAAGAAACGGGAGGGTCGATCTGCAAACCATAGACTCGTTTGAATAGTGCTGAGAAGGACCGGTTCGCTAGCATTTAATTTGTGTTTTCCACAGGGACCTCGATGCAAGATTTATATTCCTTTTCTTTGATTTATGCAGACTTGAATGATCAATTTGAAAATTCGTAGTAATTAGTAGAAAAATCATAAAATAGTAAAAGATGACTTTTTGGAATCCTTGTGAAATTATATATGCACTAGATCTATAATATAGCATGATTTAGTTTAAAGTTTTTGCTGTGAAAATCAATTTGTGCAGTTAGGTTCTTAATAATAGTTGTGTCTTGTCTTTTTCATAACTACAGTTGTTGTGCTCAAATAAATGTGAAATTATTATGGAGTGCTACTAAGGTGATGGTTGATGTCTGGTAAAAATCTCATGAGTTTAGGTTTGATGGTTTAAGAGTTATAAAAATAACAATTTTGCTGTGTTGCTTTGCTCCTATTCTAAATAGGCATGCATGTTTGAA